TTAAATAAAAATATTACATTTTTCTCTCCTCTACTTTTATTTATTTAACTAAAATTAACATCAATTCTTTTCTTCTCTTCCCCTCCCTTATATTTTTTTTATTAATTTTTATCTAAACAAATACTTAATCACTTTATTCAAACAAGGAGAAGCAACGACCTACCCTCACTCTCCTCTCCTCTCCTCTACTTTTCTTCCGAAGCCCTCAATCCAAGTACATTGTATTTTGTAAAACAAATAAACTATATTTTTTTATTGACAATCAGGGTGTTTCCAGTCCGGCACTAATGGTGTCTCCCTCCTTTTGGAATAGTTTCCCTCTTAACTTTCCACAAACCTTAGAAGCACTAAAGTATAATCACTGCTTGCCCATGTTACTCTGTCAGCCGACTCAGCCGTACCTTCTCCTCTCTCAAGTAGAAGTCTCTGCAACTTTTTCAAATGTTTGTTGGAGAAGGTATTTCCGCCACTCTAACGAACTCTAGAGCTCTAAAGCAACAACTTTTTTCTCTCCTGCAAAACTGTAACACCCTTAGAACGCTCACCCAAATTCACACCCAGGTTCTTGTTAATGGTTTTTCACAGAAGAATTTCATCCTTGTAAAGATCATATCTTTCTACATAGCATTTGGTAATGTCTTACATGCACAAAGAGCTTTTGAGAAAATCCAATGCCCAACTACAACCATCTGGAACCAGATGTTACAAGGCCATGCTAGGAGTGGAAACCCGCGAAAATCAGTTGAATTGTATGCTCGCATGGTTGCAGCAGGAGCTGTGCCTGATGGGTTTACGTATTCGTTTCTCTTGAGTGCATGTGCTAGGTCCGGATTGGTGAGAGAGGGTGAACAACTTCATGGAAGAATTCTGGTACATGGGTTTTGCTCTAATGAATTTGTGAAGACGAATTTGATTAACTTGTATGGGATCTCTGGCTATGATGGTATTGGGTATGCACGCCGATTGTTTGATGAAATGAGTGAGAGAAATGTTGTGAGTTGGAATTCGTTGCTTGCAGGGTATATTAGGTGTGGGGATGTTGATGGTGCAAGGAAGCTTTTCGACGAGATGCCAGAGAGGAATGTTGTTTCGTGGACAACAATGATTGCAGGATGTGCACAGAATGGAAAGTGTAAGCAAGCTTTGTCTTTGTTTAGTGAGATGCGGAGAGCACGTGTAGAACTGGATCAGGTGGCATTGCTAGCTGCTTTATCAGCTTGTGCTGAATTAGGTGACTTGAAGTTGGGAGAGTGGATTCACTCATACATCGAAGAGAAGTTTAATTTGCAAAGGCAGCCATTATTGGTGTCCTTGAACAACGCACTTGTACACATGTATGCCAGCTGTGGTGAGATTGAGAAAGCTTATGAAGTGTTTAGGAAAATGCAGAAAAGAAATACTGTTTCTTGGACAAGCATGATAACAGGATTTGCAAAACAGGGCTTTGCACAAGAAGCTCTTTCTATTTTCGAATGGATGCTAAGCTTAGGAGGGAATGACATCAGGCCTGATGAAATAACTTTCATAGGAGTTCTCTGTGCATGCAGCCATGCTGGATTTGTTGATGATGGACAATATTTTTTCACGCAAATGATTCAAAACTGGGGGATTAAACCCAAGATTGAGCACTATGGCTGCTTGGTCGATCTCTTGAGTCGTGCTGGTTTCTTGGATGAAGCACTCAGTATCATTGAAACAATGCCAGTAAAACCAAATGATGCTGTGTGGGGTGCACTACTTGGTGGTTGCAGAATTCACAAGAATGCCGAACTCGCCTCTCAAGTTGCTCAGGAACTGTCATCTGAGCTTGACCCTGAACATGCTGTGGGCTATCTTGTTCTGTTGGCAAATGTGTATGCTACTGCTAAAAAGTGGCAAGATGTTGCTAGTGTGAGACAGAAACTGATTGAAATGGGTGTGAGGAAGCCTCCTGGACGGAGCTGGGTCCAAATTAA